GTCACTGCATCCGGTGTATGACAGGGATGATGTCACTGCATCCTGTGTACATTGTGTGTGGCATGCTGAGTTAGTTTATGATGTCACTGCATCCTGTTACATGTGTGTGGATTCAGCTAGTGTGATGTCACTTACATCCTGTGCTACCAGTTGTCGTCATTACAGTAGTTGTTGATGTCACAAATCTTTGCATTATGGTGTCGTGTTGTGATGCACGACAGCGCAGACATTGGGTGCTGGGGACAAAGGCTATAGAGTCTAAAGAGCAAATCTACTTAGAGTTTTACTGTTGAGCCTATATAGATTACGTTTAAAGCAGCCATAAAAATGTCAATCAATAACGTTGCCAGTTACATATATAATTAATAATATAAAAAATTGAATATAAAAAATATTAAATATATATTCATATTCGACAATCAGACCACAATGCTTCCTTATTGCCTGCATGTAGCGCAATTGACTACCACTCCTCGACCTCATGACACCAGGTAGAGCCACGGATCCTTGTCAGGATGGCCTGAACCTGCTGGGTCTTGATGCCGTCAATGATCGCTAGTAAGCCTCTGAAAAACACCACGCCACGCCAGACATAAGACGTACGCGAATGACATGACATAATCACGTAACAAGTGTATCGTTTACATTACTCGTTTAAAGCCGTCGTGCATCGCGATCAAACTATAACTTGGAGACCTTTATATAGGTTGTATTTGCATTTGATTCCAGCGCATCGATCTGGTTAACCGAGTCGTCAAACAGATGGCCGCGTAGCATTGACTAAGCTACGAAATATCCATGCAGTTATGTACGGAGTCTGTAAAACACCTGGCCGTATAAATAAACATTACAATGTGATACACTTGAACACCGTACATGCATGCACCTACATGCAACCCATGTCAAACAAACATTCTTTAGTGTTGTTAGACTATTTCTGCCATGACCAGCTATTACCTATAGTTTACATCCACATAATACTGCTATCTGAAAACATGTCAAGACCCAATTTCAACTAAACACCCTTAAAAAGTACCGCCATCACGCAACACCACCATAAACAAAGTTAGTACAAAAATGAAACATAAAAACGAAAACGAAATGAACTGCAGCAACAATGACGATGCCATGTGCAGTTAGAGCGAGGAACACGAGCATAGCTAAATACAAGTCAGAAGAGTTGTATCATTCGGCCACCAGATTGCACCGCGCTACTTTATGTGAACGGAGTGTCTTCGAGGAGTGTACTCTCATCGTTCTCCCTCAATACCAAAGTGTGTCTGGGCCTTTTTCTGCACGCGCAGCAAATTAGGAAGCAAGAAGAAAACACACAAGAATGTCGAGGGCAAGAGCAGAAACAGTAGGATTGAGAACAGACACGACCGCGAGTATGCAAGCCTGCAGTTTCGTCGCCACACTGGCAACGAGCCACATCCACACTCGCACATCCTGAAACACTAGAAAGGCCTGCAAGAATGTAGTAAAAAGAGAACAGTCAGCGCGAATCAGGCAGATCTACGTCTTGTTCGTTCGCTAAAGCGCCCTCTAAGAGATGGAAGGAAATGACGTGTCACATGAAATGCTACAACAGTCTATAGGAATAGCGATAGAGCGAAAACCACTCAGCAAGGATCACGGACATGTCGGTTCTGCCATAGAGCTGCAAAAGAAAGCAATTGAATAAAAGTAGACCCTGATGCACTGATAGGTGGAGGTCCGTAAGAGCATAAAACATAGCTGAATAGTACGAGGACAAATAGAAATGAGGAACAAGGAGAAGAAGAAGAGAACGGAGAAAAAAAAGACAAGGAAAGGAAAAAAAGACGACAAAGAGAATAGACAGCATATAACGATGTGTTCTCCAACCATTCCTTACTCAAATGTTAAATAAGCAGACAGAAGAGAAAGTTGCCAACAGTGAATATAGAATGGCAAGCTTGGTATCAGATTTTCAACAGTGTGTTGCAGTAATGGTACAAAAGTACGGACAGAGTAGAGGAAAGGTATAAAAGCAAGAAAGACAGAAGAGCGGTACACTAAAGAGGATGTACAAAATAAAAGCCGGTATACCACCATTAGAGGAGGTGTAAACCACACAGAGGACCATAAAAAAGAAGGAGTCTTTTGCACTAAGGAGGAACAAAATAGAAGAGATATACTGCCATAAAGAAAGAACAGAATAGAAAGAATTTACTGCATAAAGAGGACACATATAGAAGACGATATACTGCATAAAGGAGGAACAGAAGTAGAAAGATATACGCTGCATAAAGGGAGGAACAGAATAGAAGAATATTACGCTGCATTAAAAGGAAGGAACAGAATTAGAAGAGAATATACGCTTATAAAGGAGAACAGAATAGAAGAGAATATAGCTGACATCAAAGGAGGAACAGAATAGAAGAGATCATACTGCATAAAGGAGCGAACAGAATAGCAAGCAGATATACTGACATAAAGGTGAACAGAAGAGAAGAGATATTACTGCATAAGACAGACAGATAGAAGAAATACTGCATAAAGCAGGAACAGAATAGAGATTATACTGCAGTAAAGGTGGAACAGAATAGACAGAGATATACTGCATAAAGAAAGAACAGAATAGCTAAGAAGGATATACTGCATAAAGAAAGGAACAGAACTAGAAAAATTATTGCCTGCATAAGGAGCATATACCGACACAGAGGCATCAACAGAGGTGTCTACCACGACTAACGCAAGTAGATGTAAGTAGGCGTTGTAGACGAGAGCGAGGCCAAGATCGATGGAGGAGGGTACCTGTCCTGCCTCCGACACATCTTCCAGCATAGTCTCCCCTTCATCCGCGTCCCGAACCATACTTTCCCGGTCCGCTTCTCCTGTTTACGAAATTACCACATGAGCCCATGATGACAACCGCCCATCTATGTCCCTCGCCACTACATGACAAGTGAACAGCCTCAACCACGTCAGTGTTAGGAACGAATCTCAACCTAGAGATAAATCCTGATAAATGACAGAGATAGCACTGAACATTATGTCCTTTGGAGCACGGGACATAGCCGGCCAGTGCTATGACAACCTAGAACGCCCATAACAATTGCCCTCTGCTACACATATAGGATTGAAGCTGCATAATAAATAACATGATTAACTGCTGGCAACGGATATACGAAACCCATAAATATCTAGCGAAAAAAAGAAAGAATTAATAGCCCGTCGGATAAACCGATACGATATCAAACTATCCACGAGCAATCGTTGAAGGCGAACTCCTCAAGGCGATCCCCGTTCCCCAACTGCCACGCTTTCAGGATGATTCGATGTACACCGGCAATAGCTGGAGGATGGTTCTCCATCGGGGTCCGTCTGCCACAGAGTAGTAGGCGTCGGAGTAGTCTCCGAAATCACAGCGCTCCTGAAACTGTTCGGCGACCGGCCCAGCGACGCACGTGGGTGAGGCGGCCACTCTGCCTTGATGATCTGTGGGGAAAGAGGACAACAGTTAAAATATCCGTGAGTGGGGAACGCAATGGTTTACAATTTGCTCGAGCGTAATTGTATGCTCATAATTGTTATTATGATTAATTTATGTGTTATAAATATAAAACTATAACAGGACTATCATTTTCCCAACGCTAATACTATTTCTTAAATACACGTATAGAAATATTATACTAGTATAAATGATTAATGTTGCAATGCTACATATGGAGTGTCTAAGTCGTGCGAGCGGTGTCTCTATTTGTGTCTTCCGTCAAAGCATAGCATGGAAGACAAGTGAAGGAGTTGTTCCAAATTACCACTGAATCGTTAGTATCATCAACACACTCCAGGATAGATTGAAAGGACACATGAGGTGGTCCCAATTACCGCTGCTACAGTATATTATTCATAACACAGTCCAAGATAGATGAAGACACATGAAGTGTTCCCCCAATTATCACTGAACAGTAGTATTCATAACACATCCAAGATAGATGAAGACACATGAAGTGTTCCCCCAATTACCGCTGTACAGTATTATTCATAACACATCCAGGATAAATGAAGACACATGAGGTGTTCCCCAATTATCACTGAACAGTAGTATTCATAACACATCCAGGATAGATGAAGACACGTGAGGTGTTCCCCAATTACCACTGAACAGTATTATTCATAACACATTGTGGATGGCACTAACGAACCTCCTTCGTCTTCTCATCAACCCTCATCACACTCTGCTTGGTGATGCCGAGGAGACGTGGTACCAGTCTATTCTTCCCCTTCAGCTTCTCCTACAACGAGAACAGCAATGGCATTACGCGAACGTGAAAGAAATTCGAAGAATTATCCTAAACACAAACGCGCCACACTTTGCACCCACATAACGCAGGATCGCATATCGTACATATATCCGGTGATACATGCAGGAAATATTTCTGCTGTCACGATGTACGTAGTTACGCCACGACACAGCTGGAATGCATCACCACGAATTGACCGCCAGAATGCTTCGCACTCCTGCCACCGGACGGCGCTCAATGGCCATCGCCAAGTGGCGCCCTCTGTTCCTACCTTGACCAGTGGCGCCCCTGCGAGGAACCTGACCTTATTACCTTGGTTATTTTTTACCTTAGTTATTTTTTACCTTAGTTACTTTAGTTATTTTAGTTACTTTAGTTATTTTAGTTACTTTAGTTATTTTAGTTACTTTAGTTATTACCTTGACGAGGAAGAAGGTGACGCCGTATGTCTTCAGGGAGCGGCACTGCTGGGTGTACTTCACTTTCGCCTCCAGCTCGTTCAGGCCCAAGCACTTCTTGTGCTCCTAAAACAGAAGAGATGCGTGACAGAGGGTTACACACGGGTGCGCGAGTACAGCATTAAATTGGGGTATTTCATGTTATATATATATTTATATATTATGATGTTCATTGTATGTGAAGTTTTCACAGGTTAGGAAATCGACAATTGTCAGTGGGATTAGTTAATGAAAGCAGTATTGATGGTGGTAGTGGTGGTGATGAAGATGGAGATGCATGGAGATGTTAGGGGAGGAGCTAGCTTGGATGTTTGCCTGTCCCTCTTCCCCTGACATTATATATATATATATATATATAGTCATCCTCTCTCTCCATCCCCTCTCAACACTCTCTCTCCCTCTCCCTTCCTCCCTCCTTCATTCCCTCCCTCCCTCTGTCTCTCTCTGTCTACGTCTCTCCCTCTCTTCTCCCCTCCCGCTCGTCTCTCTCTCTCGGTCTCTCTGCTCTCTGCTCTCTCTGCTCTCTCTCTCTCTCTCTCTCTCTTCTCTTCTCTCTCTCTCTCTCTCTCTCTCTCTGTCATAGGCTCTCCCTCTTCTCCCCCTCTCTCTTTCCCACTTCCTCTCTCTCCCCTCCCGCCTCCCATCTCTCTCTGTCTCTGCGCTTCTCCCACTCCTCCTCCCTCCCCTGCCCCTCCCCTCACCATCTCTCTCTGTCTCTATCTCTCTCAGCGACACCTCTCTCACCTTTCTTTCTTACGTGTATCGCACCGGTCTCACACCGCTATTACGAAAATATATTAAGCGCCGCTCGGCAGTAGACTTACGTGAGCAGCCTGTTGCTATAAGAAACTGCCCTGCCGCAGTCTGCTTTTAGCATCAGTCTAAACGCGCTATTAAATTTAATGAAATTCTCCGTCTATTAATTACGCTGTCGCGAATTTGCATCGCGCGTAATTCTCGCGTCGCCCGGCGCGCAATATTTTGCGCGGCGTTTCAAGCCCCCGACGAGTGCGCGTGTTTTGAAAAAGCGCTATAATACGTCACCAATTTAATAATTAAACGCGCACTTAATGTCAGCCGCGTGGCACTCAAACAGGCAAGAGCGAAGATTCTGACGTTTAAGTTGATGGAAGAGGCCTAATTTGAAATGATTAAAAAGCTTAATCCACATTGAAATAATCTCATCTCAGCAGCAGCGAACGGAAGCGGCTGCGCGTGCTGTGCACACGCGCACGCACGCAGACGGGGCAACGCACCTGCACGCAATAAAAAAGCTGCACACGCACGCCACACACACACACACACACACACGTGAGGCTTGGAGCCGTTATTGGCATTATGGCGCAGACGCCAAACACTAATAAACCTCGTCATCAAGCAAGCAAGAAACTAAGCAAGTGATTTGCTCACACAAACAGCAATCGTGAGTGTGCATAGAAGACAGAGCTTTGGACTGTGTTGGGCGGTGTGGCGTGCGTGCGTGCGTGCGTTGCGTGCTGTGAGCGGGGGGGTGAATAGCAAAAATAGGGTTGAAGCTCGTGGGTGGAGGCCAGAAAGTTGGAACTGTGGGTAGACCAGAGTTGGACTGTCAAAACCCCTCCTTGAACCTATCAAGCCTCACTATCCCTAACCTGTCAATCTCCTTCCGCCAACCCCAGCACCCACTTCCCTAAACCCTGTCATCCTTCCCATAACATGCAACCTACTTGTCCCCTAAACCCTGTCAATCATCCTGCTTAAAGTCTAACCCCACCAACCTACTTCGCCTAAAGCCCGACAAACCCACTTTCTAAACTGGCCCCTAACCCTAATTAACGTTCTCTAAACCGAGCTTGAGCCACAACCCTCCGTTCCCCCCAGCCAGACCTCCTCCCTAACTTCAGCAATGCCCTCTCCTAACAATCTCAACTCCGCCATCCCACTCCAACCTCCCCCTCAGCAGACGACGCCTATATTCGCGTGTCACATCATCAAGAAGTACAGACAGCAGATCCAGACGGCAGGCTTCCTGGTGTGGTAGCACATCACACTCGGAAGCTGTGATTGGCCACAGCTGATGCCCTTCGCCTCCTCCCACCACCACACCAACCCCCGGCCCTCGTTTGACCTGCAAACGACGAATCAATTACAACTTGATTCAGTAAGACCGCAAGCGCGCCACGAGCCACTACGATTAATTAGCCGGATTCTTTATGATGTTGTTTTATAGAAAGAGCCCACGGGTAGGACGAGATGTTGACGATCGGATAACGATGAGTGTGGCGGGAGTGAGGAGGTGAGTGACGATGAGCTTTGAGGCTCTGTGATGAATATCGGCCGTTCAAATTTACTTGCATTGCTTAATGATAATGTCATATTATTCATGCATTCCAACTTAATCTTTACGTCTTTGTACACAAGGTAAGAGGTAGAGAGAGAGATAAAGCAGAGATAAAAGAGATGATAAAGAGAGAGAGAGAGAGAGAGAGAGAGAGAGAGAGAGAGAGAGAGAGAGAGAGAGAGAGAGAGAGAGAGAGAGGCGGGAG